GCAGCAAGCACAAAACCCTGAGTTCAAACCTCAGTAACACCTAAAACTAAATAAATAAAATAAAATCATTTTTCAATTTCTGTTGTAGAAGTTATTTTAATTTTTGAGTAAAGGCTTACTTAACATTTATTAATGGGGCATAATGCCAAATAATTTTCAAAAATACATATTCCTTTATTGGTTTTAGAAATTTATATGTTCAAATATTTAAACTTAAACTGTGGCTTCTATGCCCGACCTTAGCTAGCTAAACCAAACTCTCATGCCTAAATTTTAAGTGTCATATTAAATATGAAAAATCAAAGTACAAATGGTATGTAAGACTATTGTCTTCAACAATTAAAAAAAAAAAAGTGGTCAGACACCAGTGGCTCATGCCTATGATCCTAGTTACTCCGGAGGCAAAGATCAGGAGGATTGTGGTTCAAGGCCAGCCTAGTGAAATAGTTTGTGATACTCTACCTTAAAAATACCCAATGTAAACAAGGTCTGGTGGAGTGGCACAAGTGGTAGAGAGTCTGCCTAGTAAGCCTGAGGCCCTGAGTTCAAACCTTAGTACCACCAAAACACAGCAAAACATTGATTTTTCTATAAATTTATCTGTACTTTTATTCAATTTGAAATAAAATGGACCATATACATGGATCTATATTTCAAAGAAGCAAGACTGCTTAATTTTTTCAAATGTGCTCAAGTTAATTCATTTTATATTGCAAAGACAAAGAAAAAAGATGGTGTCATTTTATTAACTGTGTGAATTGTGTTGTAGGAAGTAGAGATCAAGGAAAACAAGTCCTACAGGCAGATGTGCTTTTGATTTTGCACAACTGTTAATTTGGTTTGAATTTGGTTTTCAGTGTTTCTGTGTTTTATATTTGAAATTTTCTCTAGAAATCCGCAGCTTTTTCATAAAAGACTCAGTAGGAATGATTGAGCTAAAATTTCTCTAGAGTGTTGCCATTTGACTATTAAAATGTCCCAATACTAGTATAATTTTTTTTAATTTACAAATGAATTCCATGTTGGCATCGCTCTTTTTGGGAAGGTTTGGCATGTTACATGACCTAACTTGGCGAGTGCTTGCTCTAGCTGTGAATTCTAATTAACTACTGATGGGAATATAAAAGGAGCTGACTTACAAGCTGCCATTTTTACATCCCAGAATGTGAACCAAATCCAACTACCTCCATCCTTGTAACACAGCAAAGCTAAAAATGCAAAATCTGCTTCATTTATAACCAGAACTGTTGCTCAGAACTGACAAGTAATGATTCCAAGGACACAATACAATCTGTTCTCTATGAATTACTATATTAGTATTATGATAACATTGGCAGCCTTGCCCTACTATGTTCAGTTTCAGAGAGCTATACAAATTCTCTCAGATTTTCTAGGCCATATTCATTCTTTTTCTGCTACAAATTGCTTATGATATGGAAAGAATTACTTGAGGAAATTCCACATTTCAGATTAGGTCATTATTGTTTATTTATCTATTGTTGCCTAACAATATAGAATCCATTCCAGGCATAGGGGCTCAGCACAGTATCAGTTCATTATTTACTATGGTTCTGTGACTTGATTTGGTTCTGTCAGATGTTTTTCACTCACATGTAACAGAGTTCGCTCATGCATTTCCATTTAGCCATGAGCTCAGCTGGTGATTCAATGTCAAGGTGACCTCTCATCCTGCACAGTATCTCTCCATGTTGCCTCTTGTGTTTCAGTAGTCCAACCATACTTTTCTTTTAGCACAGCAGGTGGTTTCCAAGTGTCAGATCCCATATACAGAGCTTATTAAGACTCTGCTCGCATCACACATACTAATCACTCAAAGCAAATCACATAGCCAAGTCCAGTGGCCTTGTGGGAGGGGACCATGCAAGGACATGAGTGTTGTTTGAGTCCACTGAGTTCTACCAATATGACTGACTGCCTCAGCTCCATAACGAGTTTTAGTAAAGAACAGCCAAGTGGTAAATTTGAGTTTATAGAACAGCAAGAATCATTATAATTTGAACCAAATATGTTGTATGAGTAATTTCACAATAATTAATGATCTTGATTTTATTTGGCGGAGGGATAGGAGGCACTATTAGGAAGCAGAGGGTTAGGAAGTAGTACTGAAACTGAACATTTTTGTCCTTTCAGCTTTTTTTGAAAAAATAATAAATCTCCATGAAAGAATATATTAATTTTCTTTTGAGTGTGTACTAGGGATTGAACAGAGAGCCTGGCACTTGCCAAGCATGAGCCACACCCCCAGACCCTGTTCACATCCTTTAGACAACATGGGATGGATAAGGTATACCTAACAAGCACCTCTGACATGACTTCTGTTGAGCGTTTAGTTCTCCTGCTCTTTTCCTCTTCTCCCTGCCCACACACTTCCACATCCTATCAGCTTCTCTCTTACTGCTTTCTCTCATATGGACATGTGTGAACACACACACACACACACACTTCTTTTCTCGTGTTGTCATAGTGTCTATGGAAATGTTAGTTTTTAGATATAAAAATATTTAAATTTATGATAATTTTTATGTTGTGTAAGTTTTCAAGATTTTTTTTAACTTATTAGAATTTTCAGTGTGCTACATGTTCTCAGATAAAATAGCCGAGGCACTAGAAATTCTTATACTCCTAATTTGAAATAGAAAATTAACAATTTTCTACAGATTTAGGAACTGCATAGAAAAACATATGTGACTGCTACTGGCTGTGGAGCCTAGACATTGTCTCTACATCCTCAAAATTATAGCATCACATTTTAAAACTGACACTCAAACGGGTTCCTGTTTTCTGGGGAAGTAGTTTTTACTGGGAACTGCTTTTCTTTCTCCAGCAGTCTTTTTTTTCTTCTGGTCTTTTTTTGATATTATGTTACAATCATATGCCACCAGGTATTTGGGGAGGAGCTTATTGGCACAAATATTTTAGGGTATCCATAGACTATGATGAGTAAAAACAAGGTTTTGGAAGTCATCCAGCTCTATATTTTGGTCCTTGCTGTTAATCTAGACATTTCCTTAATATCTCTAGGTCTGTGCATATCCATTTATAAAACATCAGTGAAAGATATCCTCATGTTTCTTGTATACACTAAGTAGAATAACTTGCAAAAATCATTTGCACTGAACCTGACATAAGTAATAAACATTATAATTATATAAATATATGTAATCCTTTAACCCCTTAAATAAAATGAATTTTTAAATAAATAGGAAATTTGGACCATACTTACATGAACTTTCTTTTCTCAGATCATACACGGGCCCTGGTCCTATCTGGCCCTTTCTTTGTGTTAGTAACACTTAGTTAAAACTGCAGTGAAATCATATAAGAACACAGGGCAGAAGGAAAAGGCAGCCACCTTATAATCATTTGAATACAAACCACCAAGTTGATAATATGTACAGGAGAGAGAAAAAGAATTAGGCCATGAGTCAAGAAACTTTGACAGTATTTTAATCTCCGACACATTTTTACTCTTAAAAGTCCCACACTTTAAGTTCTAGAATTTAGGATGTTCTTCCATGTAACTATAACGCTATTTCAGTTTCTGAAAATTTATTTATTTATTCTTCTTACTAGGGTATTTATTCTTTTTTAATACTAGTACTAGAGTTTGAACTCGAGGCTTCATGCGTGCAAGACAGATACTCTACCACTCTGCCAGCCCTGCGTGTGCTGGGTATTTTCAAGATAGGGTCTTTCCAGTTATTTTCCCAGGGCTGGCTTCAAACTGTGATCCTCCTGATCTCAGTCTACCAAATAGCTAGGATTACAGGCGTGAACCACTGGCTCCCAACCATTTATTTATTCTTAAACTTGACTTTTACCTTTGAGCAAACTTCAGAGAAGAATGACTACCAAGATATATTTTAACCTGTTTTCTCAAATGCTTTTCTCATTATCGCTTCAAAATATCTCTGTAAAAGCATAGTCAGGACGACTGTGATTAGGCTAATTGTGTGCGCCCATATGCAGCCCATAGCAACAGTGGAGAGCAGTCATAGCCAGAGCCTGGTGCAATATGCTCCAGCACACAGCAGCCAGGGTGCTTCCAGGGCTGGCTGCACTCAGTCTTGAGCTAACAGCTGTGGTGAGAACAACAGATCGTCAGTTCTTTTGGTATGAAAAGGAGTTGGCAGTTATTTATAGGAAATAATTAATGTAACATTTATAAAAGCAAACACATTTTTCAACGTTTGAGGATCTGTTAAAAAGAAGAAAGGATATTTTTGACAGACAGCAAATTTTAGCTAATGACTTAGTGTGGGTTTTGGTGACTTGAGTAAGGAAATAGCATAAACTGGCCAAGGTAGCACATGGCCGGCCGTAACCCCAGCATTTAGGTAACTGAAGGAGGAGGATCATGAGTTCTAGGCCAGCTTGGGCTAGTGAGACCTTATCTCAAAAAAAAAAAAAAAAAGTAACAATAAAACCTGTATTTTAACAAGTTGGCCAGGGAGTGCTATGTTGAAATTCCAGGACAAAAGAATTGCAAGGGCGGGGAGGTCATTTGCTAGATTTACAGTGGTCCTTCTTGCTACCCTACTACAGGAATCGATGCATGAGTTGCTGATGGCTCAGACTGGGGTGACAGCAAAGGGAAGAGCAAGGAATTACAAGAATTGGTAGAGCCTGGTAACTCCGGATGTATAGTTATAATAATCATTAACATTTATGTAATATGTACCCGGCAACATTGGGATTGTTTTGCTTTTATTGTCTTATTTATTTTCAAGTATTTTAGGAAGTGTAGATAGTAATATCATTACAAATTAATTTTTCTTAACCTCACATAGTAATGATCTGAACCAAACTTCAAAACTTGGGTCAGTCTTATACCACACTGTAAAGGATTCTGACTTCTTAAGAGGCTAAAATAAAGAGTGATTTTAACATTTCTACTAAGAAGACAGATGCTATTGAAAACTGATCACTGGCACAAGTATGTATAAGACAAACTTTCTTCTCTTTTCCCTTTTCTTTAGTGAGACTTCATGACAGCATATCAGAAGAGGGCTTCCATTACTTGGTGTTTGATTTGTAAGTACATACTTTATGTTCATTTCTTTTTACAGTCTATTTGAAAATCACTTTGAACTAAACATGATTCTCTTATTGTATGTTCTGAATTAATGACCACATTAATATTTTTTAAATGTTCTTCAAGTAACATTCCACTCTAATCCTTTTGAAAGACATGATTGCCCAACAGTGTTTTATTTAAAATTCACATTAGTTAAGAGTCTGGTTCCTTTTGCACTGCCTATTCTAATACCATAAGACGCTTTCAGTTTTACAAAAACGGCTGACAGAAGCAAAATTTCCCATTGATTTTTTTTTAAGGATTTGTAAAATTTATCTTACATAAAAAGAAGACTGAAGGAAAAAACTGGGATTACCAAAGTTGGTTGAAACTAATCAGAACTTTTGGACGGAGGTTCTATCAGCAAGAGAGAAGGGAAAATAATGACTCCTGACAGGGGATGCAGTCCAACAGGTCACATGCATGACTGGTGGGAGTTTCATAAGAACACAGTTGCTTGAAATCAGTTTGATACTACCTATCAAGGGATTCAAAAGTGGTCAGATCATTTGACAAAGTCATCTCATTTCTGGGATCAAGTCCATGGAAAGGATCCCCTAAATCTGGGTAAAGTTTCATGCTGAGAGATGTACATTGCATCATCTTTCATAATGGAGAAAAAAAGAAAAATAAAACAAGTTAGCAATCCAATAATGGAGAAATATTTGTATAATTATAGTGCACTTGCATAATGGACTACAGCTGAGCATTTTAATGTGATGTTTGAAGAGTTTTGGGATATAGAAAAGAAAAATTATTTCACATAATGAAGATCTTAAGGTTGGTTAATCCTAGGTTTGGTTAATTTAGCTTTTCAATGTTGTCATTAAAAACAACATGGTTTCCATCTTTCCACCCTGGTTTTGTAATGTGTGGGTTTGTCTTAAGGCTCAGGCTTCTGATTGCTTTATTTTCAGATACCAAAGTGACTTCCAAAAGTAGAAAAAAGGGAAAAATAATTCCACTGTGTGTGTGTGTGTGTGTGTTTATCCATTGGAGAAAGCTTTCTCAGAAGATAATCTGTTAATAGATTCTTCATTAGAATTGCTTCTTGAGTACATGTCTAACCCAAAGACAGTTGTCCCTCTGTCTACCAAGATCCATGGGTGTTCAAGTCCCTTAGATAAAACGGAGTAGTGTTTGCGTATAACCTGTGCTTCTCCTCCCAAATCTTTTAAATCATCTCTAGATTACTTATAATACTTTATATGAAGTTACATGCTATATGAGGAGTTGTCATGCTGTCCTGTTTAGAAAATAATAACTAAAAAAAGCTCTGTACATATTCAGTACAGATGCAATTTTTTCTGATTTTTTGATCTGTGGTTGGTTGAATCCACGGATATGGTGGAACACACAGATTGGAGGGCTGAATGTATAGGTGCAGGAAGTGGAATTACAACTGACATTGACTAATGACATTCCAATCTGTAGGTCCAGTGAGAGAACTAACTCCCCTGAGTCAAATGATGCCCAGCTCAAAATAAAATCATGATTTAATTATCAGGAAAAAGGTTAGTCTTGCCTGTGGGGCAGCAGCCAAGCATTTCTGCCATACTGGTGACCCATGTGTCTGCTATACAATAAAAACCAAAGCTCTGCTTTTATGTAGTTCCTCTTCACAGTCACAGTCCATCCATGGCTTGCTCAAGTCACAATTTGGTTAGGGCTCCATTTTGTCCTAATAGTCCTTTCTCTTCAGTCCTTCCCACAGCTACTGGTTTTTTTTCTGATAATTTGTTCTTGTTTCCTGATGTTTTACAATCCTTTCTTTTCTTTTTTCCTTTCTTGATCTTCCTATAGCCATTTTTTTAAAGCAGGATCTCACTATGTAGCCCATATAAAGGCTATCCTCAAACCTGTGATCCTCCTGCCTCTGTGTCCTGATTATTGGGATTATATACATGTACCACCATGCCTGTCTCTTTGCCAGTATTTGTTTTTTAATTGTTGTGCTGGGGGTACATTGTGACATTTACAAAAGTACTTACAATATATCATATTTAAATTCATCTCCTCCATCATTCTCCTTTATCCTCCCTCCCCCAATTCTTGGAATAGTTTCAGCAGGTTTCATTTTTCCCTTTTCATACACGAGCCCATAATATTTTGACCATACTCACCATCCCACACCCTTTTCTTATATCCTCCTACCACTCCTCTTGTACCAACTCCCAGACAGGACCTGTTTTACCTTCCTGTTCTCCATTTTTGAAAAAAAACATTTTTGCTTATTTACTTTTTCCAGTCTTTTATAATAAGTATGCTGGCAATAAATTCTTAGTTTTCCCTTTTCCAAGAATGTCTTGATTTTCCTTTCATTTTTGCCAGATTCAGACTTCTAGGTTGTTAGTTCTTTCCTTTCAATATTGTGCCATTTCCTTCTTATGCCTTGTTTTTGGATAAAAAACCTGTGATTCTATTTTTTTCCCCTACAGATTTTTCTCTCTCTGGCTGAATTGAATATTTTTTCCAGCTGGAATGTGGCTCAAGAGGTGCCTTGAGTTCAAACTCTAGTATAGAGGTTGGGGGAAGGTTAGAGAAGAAAAAGAAAAGGAAAAATTAATTTAAACCAGGCATGATGGTTCACACCTGAAATCCCAGCTATGCAGGGGGTGAGGATTTGGAGGATTGTAATTTGAGGCCTGGTAAAAAGTTAAGAAGACCCCACATCAGCAGGCAAGCTGGACATAGTGGTTCACTGCTATAATCCCAGTTAGCAAGGGGGCATAGGTAGGAGGGTCATAGTCTGGGGCCAGCCCTTGAGCAAAAAGTGAGAGAGCCGATCTAAAAAATAAAATAAAAGGGCTCAAGTGGTAGAGCACCACACCAGCAGAAATAAAGCAGCACCACCTTATGACTCACAAAAAATGGTGAATAATTTCCTAGGCACCCTCCATGGACACCCTTGGGGTGGGTGTTTCCTTTACTGTTGCGCAGGGACTCCAGCACAGGGATTTTTTTTTTGAGAGGGGGCTGTATTTAATAGGAGAAATGTATCTACCCTGATTTTTTTTTTTTAAATAAGAATCAGGCCTCTTGGTATTTTGCAGCGGACTAACTTGGTCAGATATCCTTTGCTATACAAAAGCAGGCATGGTATTCTAAACTGAGATACCTACTTCATGCTATGATGAATGTTGGAATGGAAAATACTTCTGCTAATTCTCATTGCATAAGTCATAGGTCTGAATTTAGATTGATAATAGCTCTATCAGGTAGGAAAAACTTTCCCTTTAGTTTCAATATCTAAGGGCAAGTGAACTAAACTAACGAAAGAAAGATTAACAAGAGAAAAGGCATCCAATTTTTGTTAGTATTTATATCCAAGAAAAGTCACAGAAGTGAAACTCAAGAAGCAGTTAGATGCAGAGGCTTATATGCAATTTTAACAAAGGGAAAGAGTTTTGAGCTTCAAGAGATTATAAATTATAGAGACGTGCATAGTAAATACATAGAAGAATGGAAGAAAAAGGCTATTTCAGTAAAATCTGTTTATGTAACTCACTTTGCTGTCAAACCTCCCTGTTCTATGATAAGAATCATCTCGTTGGTACTGAAACTGGAGTTTTGGACCCCAGACCCAAACTCCTGGGATGCCACATGACAGGTCCAGCCACCTCCCACTATATGCCAAATAAAGAGGCATGGTGAAGGCAGAGAGAGAAAGGAGGTTTATTACATGGCTTGGGACATGCTGTAGGAGGAGCAGAGTAAGCACTCAGCCCATCCTCAGCCATCTTTGGAGTACAGACATGAGCTATAGGTCTAAGTAGGCAAAAGAACTTGGGGGCAGGGGAAGATCAGTAAGGCATTCATCAACAGTCCCGGTCACAGATGTGGTCTGGTTGATCAGTATCTTAGTTCTTGTTCTGGGAGAGGTTCCTGTCAACTGGCAGGTGGTCCATCCTGAGGAGGACTTACTGTTGGGGGTAGTTTCATTCCCTTGTTATGAAAATGTTATTATCTGTCTTTCCTGAAAACCAAGGTGATTGCAAGGTGACTGCAAAGAGAATGGCTTAGAGCAAAGACAGATAACAAAATGGAGGACAGATGCCATGCTGTTCTCCTGCTTTTAATAATTCTTGGGCCTGAGTAAGGAGTCAGTGCTTTTCAGCAAAAGCAGTTTGAATGCCTCTTACATTACCCAGGAGGGGGGGTGGAATAGTGGAAGGGCAGACCTTTCTCAAAGAAAAATTCTCTTGTGTCCTAGGGGAAGAACCCATCCCAGGACAAATGGGAATAAATGGAGTTTATTAAACTTATTAAAATTTAGGGAAGGAAAATACAGAGGGGAGCATGGTGGAGGCCAGTTGGAACTGGAAGCCAAGAGAGTGAGTTTCTGCTCTTCAGGTGTTTTTAAAACCTACCATAACTTGCGGGAAGGGGGGAAGAAGGAGATTCCTATCCAATAATCAATGAGTGGGGAGGGGCATGGGTGGTTCCCATCCAGGTGAGGGTGGTTCCTGAGCCAAAGCATGGTTAAGCTAAGATGTAATATTTTTCTGAGTCCTGAACTTTCCCTAACTTTAGCCTACCTCAGGTTCAGTTTATTTTCTCATACATCACTTTTTTCAACATTCGGTGAAATGATTGATAAAGAACATAGTAAGAAAACAGTTCATACAAAAATGGTATTGGCAACTAGAGTGGATTTTATGTATAGCAGTAATAGGGCTGTGTCATTGTCTCTGAAGTCAAAGTGGAGAGGCTTCTGGAGTGAAATTTTTCACACAGCCACAGGAGTTTGTGTCATGCCACTGAACCTCTGCTTGGAGAAGGAAGAGCTCAGTCTCTGCAATTATTCTTTAGTATTTAAGGTTTAAGATGTGATTATTAGTAGTTCTTATCAAAGTACTTTGTCAGGAAGTAAGATTAGTTAAACATATCCAGTAAATCACCCAACTTTAGAGACAATTGAAAAGCAAAAGTTTAAAGTACAGATTTTGGGGGTTGG